TGTGCGTGTGTGTGTGGGGGGGGTGTGTGTCTTTGTGAGCATGTGTGCGCACATACATCTCTAGAAACCAGAAAAGAACTATTCTTTTTCTAAATACAGTACACCTTTTGTGTTCTCCAATAGACTCTTCTGTTCATCAACCAGTGACCACAAAAAAGTGGAAAATAGTCTTAAAACAGATTACTCCTTACTTATATTCTCTTCGAAAACAAAACTCCAGAAATGAGCCAACATCAACTCCAAAGGAAGATAATCTCAAAATGCTTATATATATAACAGAAAACTACTTCTTGTATCTAAATACCTAAATATTTCGAAACCTTAAGATATGAAAACCAGCCAATCAACACCCTTCTTGATGTTTGTATCTAAATACCTATTTGTAACAAGATCACTGGTTCTTACCTACACAGGTTAGGTCATGAAGAGATGCTTCTTGCCTCCTAAATCCTCTTGCAAGAATTTTCACAGTCCACTAAAATTAATCACCAGCCGGTGTGTAACCCCAACCTTCTCACCACTAGGTACACAGTACTCACTCCCGCAATCCCACTTCTCGCAAGAGTGAGTTCTCGCTCAAGCACTCTTACACACCACAAAAAGGTTTACATAATACACACATCGTCGAATTATCCAAAACCAACCTACACTATTTATTTCGAATTCTTAAGAAATGAAATCCAGCCAATCAACAAATTTCTCGATGTTTGTACCAAAATGCCTATTTATTTCATGATTAGATTGAGTAGGTGTTTTACGGCACTATCGACTCAATTCTATTATTTCAAAACCCCAAGAAATGAAAACTAGCCAATGACTAGTCTGGGAGGCGTCACTTACCTGATTGATGGCGTAATGGAATGCCTCCAGCAGCAGGAAGCCGTGTAGCGTGTTGATTCGGCCGCAGGTGAAGGGACTCAGGCTTCTCTCGTGGACGTCAAACACACCTGAGCGGCAAAAAAAGAGTAAAACGTAATATTTTGAATTTTGGAGCGCTCTACCCCATTCTCCCCGGCTATCAGCCTGTCCATCAATCAGTCTGTTGGTTTGTTTCTCCCCTTTCTCTTTCACTCTCTCTGCTCCTATCACTGTGTTAAGTTGGGTTTTTTTAATAAGCATTTTACGGCGCTTGCAACATAATAAAGTCATATAAGTACGGAAGGTTAGTGGTGTTACAAGAGAGTAACAAACACAAGGAGAGAATGGCCTTGATCTGATTGAGACAACAGGAGGGGAGATAAGGACGATAGATGTCTGAAAAGAAAGAAGAAACAAACCACACCAGAGCACAGTGTGTAATTAATTAATCCACAACCTAACGAACACAGATGTTGTTATAGATCCAGAACAGATTTTTTAAAAAAACAATCCCCACTCAAC